ATTTTAAAATAAAATATTATTTTCAAATAGTGTAAATTGATTACTACTTCATATGAAGAGTTCAGATGCAAAAGCCTCTAAGTGCCGTTTGAAATTTTCTTCTAAAGTGAGCATTTGGTTCCTATGTGTAGGTTCAGTAATTTCAATTTAATGGCAATGAATAGTTTCTTTTCTTTCCCGTTAAAGTAAAATAACTGAACATAAACATAGGAGCCTGAGAAAATAACCATTTTAGAAGAAAATTTTAGATGACACTTAGAGGCTTTTGCATCTGAACTCTTCATAAATAACTACAAACCTAGAACTTATTTTATCATTCTTATTTACTTATTTAATTGCTTTATTATTATTATTATTATTATGCAGTAATGGGGGGGGGCAAATGATCATTGAGAGCAGAACGAATGTGTCACACGTAATAGTTCAGTTTTGTATGTAATATCTATAGCAACCCCCCCCCCCAACACACACACACACAATGGCCCTGCAAAGATTCTCTAATGGTGTCAGAAATCAACTTTTATTAAGGAGTAATATTTCAATTTTTACATTTATTATATTTTTACATTGAGTTTTTTTTATTTTAACATTTTAAAGAAATGCAGTATGTTGCATATTTATTTACAAATACCCATTTAACAGGTGCTGTTACAATACTGCAATACGAAGCTATAAGAATAATGAACCAGTTAAAGTACATTTGTAAATTATGCATAAATTATCCTCATATTACTAAGCTAATGATGTGATATTCTAATAACACATAACCATTCTGCTATATTTTTTAAATTGTTCAAATAAATTACATTTATAATTTTCTTGTTAAAGTGCATCGTGCGATTGCATTCTTTTTAAAGGATTAAAAGGATGCACAGTTTTGCCTTTGAATTTGTACAAAATAAGGTCTCTTAGAAGGCAACACAATTATGCTACCTACGTTTGGTGGTGTGCTTACCATGCTTTACTAGAGTAGATCATCCAAACATGATAATTGAGTCGTTATTTACTCGCCCACATGTTGTTCAATCCCATATAACTTTAATAATAATTATTTTTTTTAAATATTAAACAAAATTTATGAAATATTTACAATAGAATGTATATATATTTTATATTAAATTTTTTTATAAATGTATATATTCCAATAATATTACATACTTAAACACGATAATATTTATAAGCAGCATTTCTTATACTTTCCTTTTTTTATAGATCTTGTCTGAGTGCATTATGGGATTGTGTTCTCTGTGAAGGATGTATAAGATTCTGCCTTTGAATTTGGCCAAAGAACATCGAAAACACTCAAATGAAGCCTCAAATAGTTCATCTAAATATGAAAATATTTCCATTATTTACAGTGTTTTTTGTCATTTTTGAAGCCTAACGGATGTGAAAACTCTGAGCAGTTGTTGTGTGGAAAAGAATCACAGAGATTCTTCTACTTTTGCATTAACATCATACAGGTTTGCAATGTGAATAAATAGTAAATAGTATCAAAATGATTATTTATGGCTGAACTTTGCCTTTAAAACACAGCCTATATAATCACAGATCAAAGTGTTATTTGTTTTAGTCAGCGGTGAAGCGTGGCACACGTGTGCGCTGAGCAAAAGAAGTCAGTGCTTTCCATGATTCTGCTTCATGTGTGATGCTGCAGCTTTATTGTCCCTCCCGTCTTGTTGATAACAGCTGCTGCGATGGAGATGAGCTCTAGTTATCTCCACAAATCAGACTGATGATTGAGCGTCTTTCACAGTCCGTCTGCGATGCGTATGAGGACGGAGAGTTTGAGTTGGTTTATGGTTGTTTGCGCGCTCATCCTCAGCTGCTGAACACATGCGGAGCCGTGCGTCTGGAACAGATGTGTTTAGTGGCAGCGTGAATGGATGAAATTTGCACAAACCCGAGTATGAATTGCATCCAGATGCCCAGATATTTCTCTCACTGCTGTTCGGGTGAAAATTAGAGGTAAAATAAAACTCAAAGGTCTAAACTTGTGTCTCCCTCTCTCTCTTTGTCTGTCTTTCAGGCAGCTTTGGGAATAAAACACTGGCAAAAAAAAAAGTGATGACACCATGCATCATCATGGGATAAATTGAGATTTTTTTTCTTGGATACGTTTCTCTTTTTCTCTGTTAGTATCTTCTGTTCTTTCTAGATTTCTGTCATTTAGAGCGTGTGAATCTGGTGGGAGACGGCTGGTTATTGGGGCTGGTGGTTTAAAATGATAATTGTTCAGAAAACATTTGAGCTTCAAATAAATGAGAATTCATTCTGGATTCTGCAACAGGGTTCTGTTTCATTGTAAAACCTTTCTTCATATCACAGGAAAGCCGCTGAAGTGCTAAAGGCTCTTTACACCACTCTCATGTCAATCAGTGCACATGCATTCAGTCCACTGGCACGTGAATCAGTTATCAGTGTTTTGATGTGATTTATGTGATTGACAGGCTTTATAAACATACTGTATATTCGCTGCTTTAATCTGCCGTCTGTGCTGAGTAAAACTGCTCTAAGCAGGCAAATTTAAACATAATATAATTGGCTCATAAGGCTACAGTTTGCAATTTGTGATAGTTTGCAGCTTTCATTCATTGTAATAAAATGAACATTAACTGAAATTTAAAAATGAAACTACATTCAGTCCACTGGCACGTGAATCAGTTATCAGTGTTTTGAGTGTGTGTGATTTATGTGATTGACAGGCTTTATAAACATACTGTATATTCGCTGCTTTAATCTGCCATCTGTGCTGAGTAAAACTGCTCTAAGCAGGCAAATTTAAACATAATATAATTGGCTCATAAGGCTACAGTTTGCAATTTGTGATAGTTTGCAGCTTTCATTCATTGTAATAAAATGAACATTAACTGAAATTTAAAAATGAAACTAAAAACGTAACTTCTTTCAGCTAGTTGCTAAGGCAACATTTCTGATTTTTGTTTAGTTTAACTTAGTAAAATGTAGTAAAATAACTAAAACTGAAAAAAAAAAAAACATTTATAACTACAATATTTAAAACTACAATATATAATTATAATAACATTTTATTTCAACTTTTTATTTTCTCCAAGTCTTTAACTAAAATTTAAATAAAAACTTCCAAAAAAATGGAAAATAAAAATAATTCAAAATATTAAGAAGGATTATTTTGATTAATTTAATTTAATGCTGTCAATCGATTAAAAAAATTAACTTAATCAAATTTTTTCTGAAATTAATCTGAATGAATAACGTTTTTAAATATACTTTTATATTGCAATAATTACACATTCAATCTTCAAAATTAATGTAGAAACAACATAAAGACAGTATATTTTTTATATTTGCATCTTTTTTATGACTGAAGGCGAGTATCACTGATACTAATACTACTGATGTCTATGTGAAATATTAAAATATTGACTATCCATTTAACATTACATTATAATTAAGAGCTATCAATTTTAACATTTATTAGACTTTAAAAAATAACTTCTAATTTAAGTGAACTTAAAACAATCTTCACATAAACCCATTATAATAAAAGTCATGTTTGCCTGTGCCCTTCAGCAGAAATATACAGAAATACAGACAATTTACAAACACTAAATTCAAAATTAAATATAGATGAATCCTTAAAGCTACAAAAGTGATTGATTTCCTCTTTTTTTAATTTTGTTCTTTGATGAACAGACGTCACAGCAGCTGGTTATGAGGTTATTTTGGCTTCTTTAAGAGCTGCCGCTCTAGAACGTGACGCGGATCTGACACGCATCATATTTTCTCACAACTCTTTACCTTTTCTGACTCACTTCAGGTCTTAAAGTCTCTATAATGAGCTGATGAGTTGAATCGGGTGTGTTAGATGAGGGAGACAGTGCTGCTGCTCCAGGACAGTTTTGAAAACCACTGCATTTCAGACACATGCTCACACAATGCATTAACAAATACTTGCATGCACAGTTTTGAGGCAGCTTTAATCGCCTTTTTGGTAACTTCATGACTCAACTGATGACAAAACGACATTGCATGCTCGTAGTTTCATTTGTGCTTTAATATGAAATGATACAGGCTACAGTGCGCTCCGACACATTTGTGTGTGCAGTAGAAGAGCACATGCTACAAGCACAGTATAACGGCTGACAGGTCAGGGAAATTGTTTTTTTACTGACATATGGCCTGATAACATCTCATCTGACTGCAGTTCACTGTTGTTCTACTGAAGCTCCTCGTCACCTGTACCTTTTCTGTACTCGTTTGACTCGCGCCTGGTGCTAAGGTGAAGTTGGAGTGTGTGTGTCTAATAAGTCTGCCGTTTGATGAGGTCGTAAAGCCGTTCTGCCTCTAAATAAACACAATTCTTGTCAAGAAAAAAGAGACAGAAGCAGCAGTTGTGAGTGGGGTGGCCGACCCTAGCTCCGCCCCTGCATTAATTGCATTAAATATTTTTAACGCGTTAAACTGAAAAAATTTATTGTATGCATTAACGCTGATTTTGACAGCACTAATTTAATTGTTTTTTGTGCATGTTGGTTACAATGTGATCTTGTATATAATGTATTATTTTCTTAAAGTGTTAATAAAATAATGCACCTGACAAATATACTAAAATGACAAATAAACTATTCTGAATATTAAAATACTTAATTATTTATTTTTATAATATATAATGGAAAGTTCACTTTGTAATAATAATAATAATAATAATAAAACAACTTATAGTTGTTGTCGTTATTACTATTATTAAATATATTACTATTGTATATTTTGTTTTACTCTTGATGTGAATAGTTTGTAGTTAGTTTACATGTTTGCTGTGATAGTTATGCCATTTTATCTGTTGATTAATTATCAAACAAATAATAAAAATTCATTTGTTTGAAATCAAGTGTAGCGTTAGTTCTGGCAGGTCACGTCAGTCAAGCTTGCATGGTCCACATCTACCTATCGGAATACTCCTATCACTACATCCTAATATAAGGTCCATTCAGTATCATTCAGCAGCTTATCGCTTTGCTCAGGAGCTAATTACCCTCCTCCATCCCCAGCTCCTCCTGTCGTCCACAGCCAGGACTTGGCCTTCTGATATTCCTCACTGAATCAGACTCCTTTATTTTTAATTATGTTGTTACTTTAAATTGCCATTAAGAACATTAATAATATCTGCTACATTTATGTTGGTTCTGTTCTGTTTACCCTAACACCGTTGTCCTAACTACACGCGACGCAACACTGCGACACGCGATAAAAGGTATCTTTTCCATGTTAATCTGAGATTTTGTCCTAACTAGCTGCAACGGCGACACGCAAAATTTCTAATTTAGAAACGGTTACTATTTCCGCGACGTTGCGGCTGGAACAACAACATACACTATATGACAGTAGATAATCTCAGGTGATTATGTGCTTTATTCAATGTTAAAAGTGTCTAATATGAGTTTAAATATAATTTTGTGTGACCTTATAGCCATACTGAAAGCAACAACAGATAGTTTACCTCAGATCTTGAAAATAAATTAAAGCAAAGATGTCCGTTAAAACTGTGAACTCACTGCGAACCAACGAGTGTATTCCATAACAAATATGTTATCAGTCACTCAGTATGTACATTTAATGATGTTAAAAAGCTTTCATATTTATGAATTAGATTATAAAGGTATCCATTTCGTTGCGAGTGCAGTGCGCTTCCAGAGAGAGCCCGCCCACACACGCTTCTGATTGGCTGTGATATTTGATTGATTCTGTCGCGTCGCGTCTGGTGTGGACACCCAAATTGCTTGTCGCTGGAATCTTGTCGCGTCACGTGTAGTTAGGACACGGTGTAACGGGGTTATCGCTGCTCTCCCTCCTCTTAGCCATGCTAAGCTGCATTAATGGGCAGGGAGTTTTTGCCCAGAACAGAACTATGCCGCCAATCCAAACTGTATGCTAACTGTCAATTACCTTTGACTCTAGTGGTCCTGACAGAACTACTTTTATGTTCATGCATTCCTTTCTTTGATTGTCTGTGATCTTCACATCACATTTTCTTTCTTTCCAGGCCAGAGACGTTGTCTGAAGTGTCATGAGAACTGTTTGAAATGCTTGCGAGACGCAGACAGATGCACGGCCTGTAAAGATGGCTTCAGGTAATACTAATAAACATCAAAACTGTTCAAATTTCAACTGTTCAGCAATTGCACAAAACAACCTGATGAGAAAAACGTGCACAGCTTCATGTCCCGTGTTGAACCGCTGCTCTCAGAGTGTGGCAGTCGAGATGCGGCCCAAGAATGTTTGAAAATCGTCACTGGATTATTGCTTGATTGCAGCATAAATAAAACCAAATGTTTGCGGCTATTGAGCATTTAAAAGTCTCTTGCAGCCGATTGAGTTTAACAGGCAGAGCTGTGACCCCTCTTTGCACTCCATGCACAAAATTATGGAGTTCTGAATTCTCACGACATCTGTAGCCTTACGCTGGTGCGGATGAAATAGCGTAAGAAGTCAGGCTTTGGGGTTTTGTGTGGGTTCAGGACATCTAGGGTACATCTGGTCATCTTTATGCATGCTGTCTTTGCTGTGGTTTAGACGAGCCGTACTGAGACAGACCGGGCTTTAGTTCTTGAAAGGCAGTCTGGTCTTGTGAAGGGTAAAACGCAGCACGCTTTGCGCCGTGACCTCTCTACGGCATTTAATCTGTCAGGGTTATATATCGTGATGCGCTGTGTTTAGAAGCGCAAATCGAGAGAAAATGCCTGAAGTCTTTTAGATTCATATTGTCTGCGCCACACTTGCTCAAATGATTATTGAAACGCCTGTCATTTTCAACCACTGACACACAATACCCCACTTCCATAACAAAACAGCTCTTTTAGCCAAGACTAGATCAAGCCACCGTGAAGAAGACTGCAGAGTTGTTTTCTTGGATTGGGAATCACTGGTAACTCTGATTTGTTTGAAAATATTTTAATAATAATAATTTAGATTGACACTAGTTTTAGTCTGTGCCACATTTAGAGCACTAAAAGCTTAAAGGAGCCGCACATACAGATTTTGGAAATAGAGCTGTCACAATTATGATATTATGGCAATTAATTGTTCAACAAAAAATAATAATTATTTATTTAAGTGTAAATTATGTTGTTACATGTTATGTTGGTTACAATGTGAACTTGAAATATAATAAATGATGTATTTTAAGGGTTAATAATATAACACACATTAAAGTGACATAAATATGCTATTCTAAATATTAAAATACTCTATTTATTATTATAATATATCATTGAAAATAAAATCATTATTATTAACAATTTGTCACGGTGCTACTGTGAGGGAGCAAGGAACGAGGAGACCAGGAGTACATCAATAAGGGGATTTTAATTATATCAAGGGAACCAGGAAAACACACGTAGCAAAGGAGGTAGACATCAACAGACATTCACAATACCGGACAGCGAACTCAAAACAGGAAACCATTAAATACAGGACTAGAGGAGGGACACAATGAGGAACACCTGAAATCAATGACATAATGAACATTGGAAACATCTGGGACAAATAAACCTAATCAGGGAAACGGAACAGGAAGACCAAATAAGGGCAAAAGGAAACATAGGAAGCAAAACACGGAACAGAGTCTGACACAATTATTATTACTAATATATCATTTTTTTTACTCTTGGTGTGAATAGTTTGTAGTTAGAGGCAATAGTGTTTGTGGCAATTATGACATTTTAATTGTTGATTATTTATCAAACAAATACTAACAATTGACTATTTGATTTACCTTTTTTTGTGCATGTTGGTACTGTGAGAACTTGGAAATAAGGCATAATTTGGTAAATAATGCACATCATAAAGTGACATAAATTTACTATTCCAAATATTCAAATACTTTATTATTTATTTCTTTAACATAATGGAAAATACACTGTTGTTATATATAATAACAGGTAATAATAAGGTGCATAAAAGTCATGTAATTGTAAGCAGTCATATGTTAATGTGCTGATAGTTTTGATATAATAACTGATGTTTTTGCTTTTCATGATGTTTGCTCTTTAAAGCTGTGGAAATATTGCAGTGAACTGCTGTATGGGTTTATTCTTTTCTTCTTCTTCTTCTCTTTTTCCTGATTAAAGTCTGGCAGGAATGACCTGCATTCCAGAGTGTGCCAATGGAACGTTTTTTAACCTGGAAGAAATGAAGTGCAGCCCCTGCCACATCTCCTGCTCCACATGCACAGGTCACCTTCTATTCTATTCTATTCTATTCTATTCCATCCTATCAATACTATCCTGTTCCATTCTGTTCTATTCTATTCTATTCTATCCCACCCCATCCCATCCCTATCCTATCCTATCCTATCCTATCCTATCCCAATCCCACCCCACCCCACTCACAATCCTATCCTATCCTATCCCATCCCATTCCATCCCAATCCTATTTTATCTTATCTTATCTTATCTTATCTTATCATATCTTATCTTATCTTATCTTATCTTATCTTATCTTATCTTATCTTATCTTATCCCATCCCATCCCAATCCCAATCCCAATCCCTATCCTATCCTATCCTATCCCATCCCATCCCATCCCTTCCAATCCCTATATGATTTACTTTAGTAATACCATAGACACAACACAGTTAGGTAATTTTTCATACATATCATACATATATATATCGATTATTTTGTTTTGCATTACAAAAAGGTGTATGTAAATGTTGGCAGTCATTATATTTAGAACAGTACAAACTTACACAGCAGTTTAAACAAGAATTTCAGATTGACTTAACTTGTATTTCAGACTAAATTTTGCCTGTCCATGTTTTGTTGACATCTGTTGAAGAAACTTCCTGTGCACGGTAGTATACAGTAGTATCTTAAAGGGGTCATATGATGCGATTTCAAGTTTTCCTTTCTCTTTGGAGCGTTACAAGCTGATTGTGCATAGATAAGATCCCTGAAGTTGCAAAGACTAAAGTCTCAAAACCAAAGAGATATTCTTTATCAAAGTTAAGACTCTGCCACGCCCCCCTAAAACGGCTCGTTCTAACACGCCCCCACATACCTACCTCACTATGTGGAAATATTAGAATAATGCAGCCCAAATGTGCACGCAAAGAAAGAAAGGGGTGGTTTCAGTAACCGCAGTTAGTGCTGAAGCAGCCATGTCAGGGAGACGCCGTGTACATTAATTGAAAAATAATGTGTTTATTGAACATTAAAGCATGTCAACATATTCTGTTACACCAAATACACAAAATAATGATCTTTAAAAAAGCATCATATGACCCCTTTAATGCGTTTAACTTGCTTACCAATCCGTTCACAGTGAGAAACTGAAGAGTAAAGTGTTTGTATTGTTTTGAGGACAGCAGGAGTGAACGAGTCCTGTATCACTCTTGCTGCTCAGCCATCGAACTTAATTAACTTACTTCATTATGCCAAATCACCAGAGACGCCTGATAAGCCCTGAGTTGTTTGCTTTCCAAGTTCGCTGAAATGTGGAGAGCTGTTATAGACACAGCAGGGCAGAATTAAATAAATTGACAGATTAACCTGAATGTGTGTGTGTCTGTTTTGGGCTCTGTCTTAAAACCCTAGTGAGATGTCTAGATAGACAGCATTTTAAGACATAAAGTAGCAAATGTAAGTATTTCTCTTTGCCAAATACTTGCAGCATGGCATGCGTCATTTGTGGAGACGACAGTCCCACAATACTCCATCTAAACTGATGGATGGAAAAAGATACTCATTTATTTCATTCAGTAGTATTATTGATATACTATTATAGATTTTGGTATTATTTTGAATGAGATTTTATTTTTATATTTTCTGTTTTCACTTTAATTTAAGTTGACGTTTTAGTCATTTTGTTGCATTTTGTCATAAAAAAATATGTCTTTTAGTTATTTTAGTACATCAAGTTGAGAAATGCTACTTTGGCAACTGGCTAGTATAGTTAACATTTATTTCAGATAATGTTTTTTTCTGTAAGATTTTATGATTTTTTGAAAGAAGTCTCTTTTGCTCACCAAGCTGCATTTATTTAATCAAAAATACAGTAAAAACAGCAATATTGTCAAATATTAACATTTAAAATAACTGCTTTCTGTTGTAATATATTGTTAAATGTAATTATTCCTGTGATCAAAGCTGAATATTCAGCATCATTACTCCAGTCTTCAGTGTCACATGATCTTCAGAAATCATTCTAATATGCTGATTTGCTGCTCAAGAAACATTTCTGATTATTATCAATGTTGAAAACAGTTGTGCTGCCCAATATTTTCCACACGTCTCACATGACCACTGCACTGCTGCATTCAGACGACACACACTACTGTGTGACCAGTTGGGCTCTTGCATTGTGAATGTGCATTTAATGAAGTTTTGAAAGTGACAGCTGGAGCATACCTATGATGCTTTAAAATGCAAATGCATTTGATTAAACATTTTTCTTAGGTTTTTAAGATTAAAGATGTTTCATATTTAAAGGTCACATTACAGTTCTCATAAAAAATGTAAAACACAGTTTCAAGTACTAACTAAGATAGCCAAACTAACATCTTTCTGTCAGGTCATCCTCTTTGTCTTTGTTTCCAACTGTAATATCATCATGGCTTTTCTCATTTTTTTTTTGTACACGTTTGTGTTCTTAGCTTCTGATTATCCGTCTCTTTGAAATTGCAGTTGTTGGAATTGTAGCCTTGGTAAAGGAATTGAGTGCAAGAGTTTGAGAAACTCTTGTCTCTCTTTTTTAATGACACTGGCACTCAAGCTGACATTATGAAAACCTGATGATCATATTCTCCACCATCATTTAGATGATACATAAAACTAACTTACTGTATTTATTTATTTAAGAATTAATTGTAATCGTGTATAAAAGTTATATAGAAATATAAAATAAATGTCATCTAAAATGTCATCATTTCTTTTTATATATGTCTTATATAATTTCTAGATATATAATAATATTTTGTAATATATAAGAATTTTATGTGTATGTTGTATACAAATTTCTAAAATATATAATTTATATACACACATTTATTTTATATACTTATATGCACAATATATATTTATAGAATCCTTTTATATTATTATTATTATATATTCTTATGTTCTATAAATGTATATATACAATTACTGTTATATGTGTATATATATACAAGAATTTTATATATGTATATTGTATTTACTGTTTATATAAGTTAATATTAAATAAATATATAATATTTATTTATTTTGTATTCATATGCCAGTTATATTCTTATATTATTGAATTCTATAAATATATATTGTCTATATAAATTATATTTTAAGTTATTTTTTAGTTTATGCTTGATCTTTATTGTTTTTTTTATCTGTATAATGATCGAAAAGCAATTAGTTTTTCAGATAAAACCAGAGAGAAACAGTAGAAGAAAGTGTATCTTCTGAGATTTACAGTGTTTTAGATTCCTGTAATGTGCAGCATGAAGGCCGCGGGAGAGGATACGCCTCTGCACTCCACAATTTATGAATCAACAGTCTTTAGATTTATGAACGCTGTCTCAAGTAAATAGAGGCTTTTATGAAGGTCACAGATGGTGATTGCAGTAGAAACGGGTTCTTCTCCGAGTCCGGTTGAGCTTCACTGCAGGCAAATAGATCAGACAGCCGTGAAACAGAGGTCAAGTGTGGCCCTGAGGTAACCAACCCACACTGGAAGACATTCAGTTTGAACTCATATACAACAAATGATAAAGTACATATAGTAAATACTGCATAAGAGCACTGAGGTCACACATATGCTAATGTTATGCATTACCGTAGAGAGCTGTCATTTTTTTCAATTTCAATTTTATTTTATAATGATCAAATAGCCCCTTCAAATCGTAATGGGCCTAGGCCTGTATAAAAGATTTTCATTGTTGACAGTCACACATACTTTACTTGAAGATTAATAAACATTGAAATGAGGGTAAAAACTTGTTTTGCACGAAGGCAACTGTTGTTTTTTGTACACACACACTACTGTTCAAAAGTTTGGGGTCAGTAAGATTTTTTTAAGCTTATTAATTTTTTTTATAAAGATGCATTAAAATAGATCAAAAGTGACAGTGAAGACATTTATAATGTTGCAAAAGATTTCTTTTTAAAATAAATGCTGTTCTTTTAAATTCTGTTTTCAACATTGATATTAATAATATTTTTTTTTAGCATCAAATCAGCATATTAGAATGATTTCTGAAGGATCATGTGACACTGAAGACTGGAGGAATGATGCTGAATATTCAGCTTTGCACCACAGGAATAATTTATATTTTAACATACATTCAAATAGAAAGCAGTTATTTTAAATTGCAAAAATATTTCACAATATTACTGTTTTTACTGTCAGCTTTGCACCACAGGAATAATTTATATTTTAACACATTCAAATAGAAAGCAGTTATTTTAAATTGCAAAAATATTTCACAATATTACTGTTTTTACTGTATTTTTGATCAAATAAATGCAGCCTTGGTGAGCAGAAGAGACTTCTTTCAAAAACAAACTTAAATTTCAGTTGGCTATATAATACCAGTAAAATTTCACAATTTTTGAATCCGCATTAAAGGAACAGTTCACTCCGAAATTTCAATTTTGTCATCCTTTACTCCGTTTTGGCCACATGACAAGTAGTTGTTAACGACATTATTTAACCACGTATCAGAGTTGCGACACAAAAAATCACGGTAAACCAGGTATATTTTGACTCACAGTGTTGCCAGATCTAGCTATAAAAAACAGCAAACAAGCACAAGGCAATAATAAATCCAAACTTGGAAATATGCCACATACTGAAATATCACGACCTGCGCGTGCCTGCTTTATGAACTCCATAACCTGGATGGCTTTTTTAGCTGAGCCCAAACAATAAGCAATTAAAATAAGTGGACATGGCAACCCTTCAAGAGCGCGCTCTCTGAACAAAAACAAAATGCGACAGCTCTGTTGACGGTGGTTAAGTTAAAATTGCGGGACATAACGAGTCTTTGGTTGCTGTAATATTTCGAGAGTGAGTTCTGTTCCGTACGCACACAAAACTAGAATTTAGGGGATTCACTCACTAATATGCATATTAGGTTAATAATGCCATAGAAATGAAGTAAACTGAGATATTTGTCAGATGTAGCAGCAGCATCAATATCAGATACACATCAGGATACCTGATCTCTCTGAACTTGAAAACTAATGGCCTGGACTAGTAGATGCAGAGTGCTGAGGTGTTGAAATGGGCAGTTAAATTAACAAGCTCATAAACATGAGCTCAGTGTTTCTCCTCCAGGATCCAGGATCTGTTTTATGGCACAGTTTGACTCGTATCATCTTCAGCTCTTGATTAGAACAAGAGTTTACTAAAGTAGCCTAACTAATGCTGAAAAGTACTACAGAGTTCCTGCGGGTTTTAAAAATGTATTAAAAAGTCTTAATTTGCACTTCCATAAATAAAGGCCTAAACGGTCTTAAATCAGAGCATAAAGTCTTAAATTCATATAAAGTCATGGCATTAGATGTTGCATGCACTGCAAAAAATGTATATCTTCCTCAATCTTTTCCAATACAAATATCTTAACATAAATCAAGACACATTTAATTGAGATGCAAATTGAACATATGAAGTCTTGTTTTCTGAGGAATTTAACAAAATGAAGTGAGTTTATGCATAAAACAAGAACAAACATCTGTTAATGGGGATTTGTCCTTTGAATTAAGTGTATTTTTCGGAGCCCATTGGCAGATATTTGTTCTTGTTTTAATCATAAACTCACTTCATTTTGATCAATTTCTCATAAAACAAGACTTATTATTTGATGTAATTTTGCTTCTCAAGTAAATGATCTTTAGACAAAACTTTGCTAATACAGGACATTTACGTTTAGAGACCATATTTTGTTTCATTCAGTGTATTCCTTAAATTAAATTAAGTCTTAAATTAAGTCTTAAATTTACCTTCAAAAAAGGTAAGAAACCCTGTACTAAAGCAGCACTTTATGATTCAAGGCCCTGGCTCTGTTGATGGCTGTCACTCACTGGCATTGATGCATCAGTCCCGGTCGTACATATTCATGTCATGATGCTCCTGTTCTGATCGCCTGCTACTTTGGTGTTTTCAGGAAATCTCTCCCTGTCATTTATCAAATCGGAAGCTCATGTGCGGTTCTGCTGTGGATTTTCAGGTGTGAGGAGCACTGTTTGAGCTGTCAGGGTCCTGGAACGAGCTGCACGCAGTGTAAGGACAGATACAGCCTCGTCAGCCGGACCTGCATCATGAACGCCACCTGTAACAACGGTACGTGCCTTCAGTCAGCCAGCACTGCTGAGATGTTAGGCACTTAAATTTTGGTCTGTTCACTCAAACTGTTTGACTTTAAAAGAGGTGCTTTTTTTGCCTTTTAGGAGCTTGACATTTAAAATCCACCTTTGTTGCATGGAAGAGAGTCAAACATCTCATTTTGTGTTTGACAAAAGAGATTTAATCTTAATAATCGATTAATTAAAATGAATTTAGATAATCCATTTAATTATATTTTATCTCTCTCTGTCGTATGCCCAACCAGTCAATAGTGGTTTGCGTGAGCATTGAACGTTAAATAATATACAACGACTCTTACGTGAGTTACTGTGACTGATTCATTGAATAGAACCAGTTTTATTTGTAAATCAGGCTGATAATTAATTTAAAAATAAATAATAAAATAATTGTTAAAAAATATATAATTTACTTCCCTTATATTCCAAACCCTGATTTTCTTTATTCTGTGTGGGGGGGGGGAAAGAGTCACTGAGACATTCTGTCAAACATCTGATTTTGTGTTTGATGAAAGAAGAAAAATGATACGTAAGAGTAAGTGAATGATGACAGGAGTTTGACTTTAATGAACTGTCCCTTTTAAGTGTCAGGAATATGGACTGTCAGTGTGTTTGTTTTGCTCCCCATGTGCTCCGTGACCTAGCTTTCCCTCCTGTGTGACATGCCCATATTTGGTTCCCTTCCTGTTCCTGTTCCGATTGGGTTTCATTGCTCCCAGGTGTGTTTCCCCAATTCCCTCGTTAAGTGTAGTATTTATAGTGTAGTCTGCCCCATGTTTCCTTGTCGGATCTACTCCATGTGCTCCGTGTGTGTGTTCCTGCCTGTTCTGTGTTCCCAGTGATTTGGAGGATTAAAAACTGCTATTATGTCGTCACCGATAGCCTCGTGGGCAGCATGTCGACATGTAGCGCCATTGCGCTTCGGGCGTCCCGTGTTCGAGTCCCGGCTCCCGGGCCCTTCCCGATCATGTCGACATGTAGCGCCATTGCGCTTCGGGCGTCCCGTGTTCGAGTCCCGGCTCGCGGACCTTTCCCGATCCCATCCCCCCTCTCTCTCCCACTTCGCTTCCTGACTCACTACTATCCTATCAATAAAAGGCAAAAACGCCAAAAATAAATCTAAAAAAAAAAAAACTGCTATTATTGTTATTCCCTCGTCTCCTCGTTCCTCGCTCCTTCACAGTAGCTGAACCGTGACATTAAGTATAATAGGTCCGTTTTATTTTGTTGCAAAGAAGTTTGGACAGACAGCATGGTCAGCTTTAATGAGATTGTTGCTTGTTTCTAAAGCCAAAAACTTTCATATCTATTCACTGACTTCCATTTGACCTTGTTTTATTTATTCATTTATGGATTTTTTTTTTCATAAAATTTTGCAAGGAGCTTTTTGTTGTTACGGTCCCATGGAGTAATTCATATGGATGATGTCGTGTCAAACTGACCTGATCCGGGTGTTTCCGAGGCTTTCAGACTTCAAATCTTCTCAAAGTTTGTTGTTGCACAGCTATAAACACTTGACATTAGAGAGAGAAGAAAGGGGAGCACACTGAGTAAAAAGATTTCAGAAGATGAAAGGGAAGAGGGTCGTACGTGAGTGAAAGGCTGGGAAAAAAAATGTGAGTGAGGCAGAGCATTGGCAGGACAGCAACAATGCTTTCCCCAGGTTCCGCTGCCCCTCATTCCTCTGGAGCCTTCTGTCTGTCCAAACTTACATAACATGACCGTCAGATCACCGAGAGAGGAGAAAGAGGGACAGAAGACGGTCCACTGCTGTTAGTGGCACTTCTGATTCAAGTGTAGGGCATTTGGGTTTCATCCTAGACTCTTAAAAATAAAGGTTATTTATTGGTATTGATGGTTCCATGAAGAACCTTGAACATCCATGGAACCTTTCAAATGCAGAAAAGGTTCTTAAATTTTTTAAATGTTCTTCGAAATGGTTGATTTATGAACTGTTCACTGAAAGGGAACCATTCTTTGGGGAACCAGCAATGGTTCTTCTATGGCATCACTGTAAAAACACCCTTTTGGAACCTTTATTTTTAAAAGTGTGTTTGAGGAAAACATTTAAGAAACTCTGGGACATGACAGGTGGCAGACTCACCAGGATCATTCAGATCGGCGATGTGTTTGATAAAGAGACATGACTGAAGTCTGAACTTTCTCTTTCTCTCTCCCAGCGGATGAAGTATTCTGCGAGATGGTCAAGTCGAACCGACTATGTGAGAAGAAGCTCTTTCGTCAGTTCTGCTGCCGGACATGTTTGATGACGGCTGGATGACAGCAAGAAAAGAGACAAATGGACTGACCTACTATTTCTTTGGTTGTATTATCTAATGTACATTTTAAACTAGTTATGCTGTGATTATTAAAGGAATAGTTCCGCCAATAATGAAAATTTGCTGAAAATGAACTCACCCTCAGGCCATCCAAACTGTAGATGAGTTTATTTCTTCATCAGAACAGATTTGGAGAAATGTAGCATTCATCACTTACTCACCAGTGGATCCTCTGCAGTGAATGGGTGCCGTCAGAATGAGAGTCTGTAACGCCAAGCCAGCAGAGGGAGCCCTCGCCCGAGTACTGACCGTGCTCCACTCCCTCTGCTTCCTCTAGGAACCCATGCAAATAAACGCATCCCGACTATCTGAGAGTGAATGAGAACGGAGACGACATCAACGACTATGTTTTTACTGCGGTGAATCAGTCCACCGCAGTTTAGGATGCCCCCACAAGCTTCAAAAGAATCCCCGGGTAAATATTGAACATTTTGCCCTTTTAAGCAACAAGTCATTCACACTCCCTGTTGTCTTAAGAACTGTCGCCATCAGGATTGATAACCTCATGAGACAAGCTCCTAAAAGGAGAAGTGGAAAAGGTGGGCGAACCAACGATCTCACACCTAACCCTGTGGAAATGTCTTCCCCTGAGGAACCCATGCAAATAAACGCGTCCCGACTATCTGAGAGTGAAAGAGAACGGAGACGACATCAACGACTGTGTTTTTACTGCGGTGAATCAGGGCACCGCAGTTTAGGATGCCCCCACAAGCTTCAAAATAATCCCCGGGTAAATATTGAACATTTTGCCCTTTTAAGCAACAAGTCATTCACACTCCCTGTTGTCTTAAGAACTGATACTCTCTCTCTTGACCTCACAGCGATGATTGACTCCGGAGCCGCCCTGAATCTCATCCACCAGGACATCGTAACCAAATATCAAATCCCTACACAAATGTGCACCCCACCTATCCAAGTCAAGGCTATCGATGGTGAATTGATTGGAAGAGGCATCACTCACCAGACCAAAACACTCACCCTCCAAGTTAGAACCCTTCATAAGGAATCCATCGTCTTTTACATCATCGACTCTCCCAAACACGAACTTGTTTTAGGATATCCATGGCTCTCTACTCACGACCCCGAACTCTCATGGCATCAAGGCGAATTGACGCGCTGGTCATCTTTCTGTATGAGTCACTGTATCACTGCACCACCCCAATCATGTCTCGCAACCAGTGTGGAAAGCCCTGAGACACACAAGAAAGTTAATATCCCCCATTGTTATCAAGATCTCTCTGATGTATTCAGCAAGGTAAAAGCCACGCAACTTCCTCCACATAGACCTGGGGACTGTGCCATCGATCTCCTGCCTAACACACAACCCCCCAAGAGTAAAGTATATCCACTTTCCAGAAACGAAAGTCAAGCCATGGAAGAGTATGTGGATGAAGCCTTGAAATCCGGTTTTATTTTCTTCATCAGAAATTTATCATTACATCACTTGCTCACCAATGGATCCTCTGCAGTGAATGGGTGCCGTCAGAATGAGAGTCCAAACAGCTGATAAAAACATCACAATAATCCACAAGTAATCCACACCACTCCAGTCCATCAGTTAATGTCTTGTGAAGCAAAAATCCATCATTAAGGAGTTTTAACTTCAAACCATCACTTCCGGCTAAAATACGAATCGTCTATCCATAACCTTGCTTTTCAGGAGATGGATTTTTCACTGGAGGAAACGTTATTATGCATTATGGACTCATATTTTTACCAGAAATTATTGTTAAAAACGTCTTGATGGGTTTGTTTTTCAGGTTTTCTCTTCACAAGATGCTAATTGATCACTGTGTGGATTGTGATGTTTTTATCAGCTGTTTGGACTCTCATTCTGACGGCACCCATTCACTGCAGAGGATCCACTGGTGAGCAAGTGATGCAATGCTAGATTTCTCCAAATCTGTTCCCATGAAGAAACAAACTCATCTACATCTTGGATGGTCTGTGGTTGAGTGCATTTTCAGCAAATATTTGTTTTTGGGTGAACTCTTACTTTAATGAAAGAAATAATACTCCTCATTTCAAGAAACCCTGTTAGGGTGCTGTTTGATTTAAACAAGATATATTTTTAAGATTTTTTTTTTTTTTAAACATGCAGTACATGTATAAATTGCTTCTTTTTTATTCAAAGACATCACACTGAATGAAGTGAAACTGCAATGTTAAGAGAGACATTAAGCTTTTAAATCACAAGAATGATCAAGAATAATGACACTGTACATTTTTAACAACGCATCTAATGGTATTTTAAATATATGAAGGTGGAATATCTCCATCAAAGCTCTGAAATATAAACCTTTCCTTGATGAAAATGTGTGGCCGAGTCTCTTTTTTTTCCCACAGTGAGGCTACATGTGCTGGTGGTCCACGTTTAAGTGCTAATGATAATTTGTTTGTTTCGGTTTTCCAGTGTTTTTCCATGTTCTGATATCAGAGCTTGTAAATATTTAGATTGGGCTCAACTATTTGCAATGCATCTTGGTGAACTGTCAGAGTTTGACCCGCAGTGAGCCGGTGATGCTTTGACTGCAACATCCTGAAGGGCAATTGATGAACACACACACACACACACACACAATGATTATTGCAGTGAAGGTTCACAGCTGCTCTTAATACCGTCCACACACAGATGAACCCGTGACACATGTTCCTCATCGTGATGTTACTGAACTCTTCAAGCTTCAGTGAATCTCTTTAATGATTCTGGACTCACTTTGTGTGAAAACACCACAGGACTGAGAATAACCAGTATCATGCATAACATAACGCTTTATTAATGAGCCCTGAACTATGATGATCCTGTGCTGTTTGATCATTATTTATTTAGTTTTTTTAAATTTTATTTATTTATTTAGTCATTTTGCAGACACTTTTATCCAAAGCGACTTACAAATGAGGACAACAGAAGCAATCAATTGTAGTATTAAAACAAATCCAAAACTAAAAGTTAAAACTTTAAAAAATACTACTTATACACATTTTAAAAATAAAGAAATTAAATAAAAATGACAAATGCATACAACAAAATTTCAAAACTTAACATTTAAATGAAAAACAAAAAATAAAGCTAAAAACAATACAAAATATGAAAGAACAAAAGGTATAAGAGTATAATAATGATTCTAACATAACACTAAGCCAAACACCAAAAAAACAACTACATATATGTGTATGTACATCCACACACACATCCACACATATATATATGCATACACATTTATAAATTCAATATATATATTATTTAATTTCCATTCCATTTAGTTTGTTGAAGTATAAAAATAACTCAAATTAAATAAAACTAAAAACGTAATAAAAGACCTATCATTATGGTATTATTTAAAGATGAAGTTTGTGCATTTGATTGCTCTGATGATGTTTATGAATTCTTAGTTATGTCTAATGCATAATCCACTTTGTCTTAGATCTTTCTCCTCAGATTGCTCAGGATATGGAGGTCACATTAAAACTGCCTCGGAAAACTTTTAGCACATCTTCATCAGTTATTTTTTTGCTTTACTTCATCTGATGATATACCGACTTTCGTAGGAAAAACATCTGCTGAACTTTATCAACCTGTCGTTTCTTTTACTCTCCTAAAGCAAAACGACCCTCCACATCTGGTCAGAGTATCAGATGCAACGCTGTAGATTATTTAGAAATGAAACATGTTGAGGTGACTGCTTCGGCAGAGGAATGAAAGAAATGTTCATCACACCATCTGTGGTATTCTGACAGTTTATTTGATAGAACTTCAACACGTTTAAAAGAGGATCAGAAGAAACTGGCTTAGACTGACAGGCCTGTGCTGCGCTCTGGTGGACTCCTGAGGGACTCTTCGAGTTGTTGTCTACTGTTGTGTTCATAGGGCCGATCGGCTCTGGGTGGGCTATGGGTGAATGGTTTTATTACCATGCTCTGTCTGTATGCATCATCACTGAGTTTTCATGTGCATTAAAATAATTTATATTAGAATCACAGATTAACAAAAATATGGCTTTTTGTTAAGAAACGGGGCATAATTTGCATACATGTCTTCTGTAGAGGACACCAGGACAAGCGGCATGTTAATCGGGCATTTTGGGGAAACACAAGAAACTACAGATCAATATATGAAATATGAGATATTCCTATGAAAATGTTGCCAAGTTATTACTCTCATTATAACACTTTTTTTTTCATGGGGACCGACTAAATGTCCCCACAATGTCAAAAATGTCAGGTTTTAGGCCTACTGTCCTTGTGGAGACATTTGACTCTCTGTCTAAAGAAAAATGACCACAAGATACGCTGTGAGTGAGTGTTAGGGCAATATTTGGATGATGTGAGTGATTTAGAGGAACAAATGTGATCCTGGAGCACAAAAGCAGTCTTAAGTCGCTGGGGTATATTTGTAGCAATAGCCAAAAATACATTGTATGGCTCAAAATTATCGATTTTTCTTTTGTGCCAAAAATCATTAGGATATTAAGTAAAGATCATGTTCCATGAAGATATTTTGTGTTATGTTTTGTCCAAAAAATATTTAAAATATCGGGTAGGTAAAGTGTACATAAATTATTGTCAATTTCTGTAATTTATTGATATATTTAAGTATTTGGGGTCACACATTAAAAACATGGTTGAAATTTGCACATAACAGGAGGGTTAAAAAAATTATGTAAGTTTTCTTTGTGTACGATGTATTGACGCTGAAGCGCATTTCTCCTCCCGTCCGCCTGGTGGCGCTGTAGTTTTCTCGCAAACGTGGCATTTGTTTCGAGAAGAACAAAACAGACGTTTCCGTTCGGCGGCAGCGCGTGTGCGAATGTTAGACGTTTGTAATAAAGTTTTGATCCAACACATTTCTCGTTGATCAGACTCGTTTCTCGCAAGTCGTTCCTCTCAGCGGCTGACATGGTGAAGCTGACGGCAGAGCTAATCGAGCAGGCGGCGCAGTACACGAACCCTGTGCGGGACAGAGAGCTCGATCTCCGCGGTGAGTCGAGCAGCAGCATTCATGTGTGAATCACTCATGTATCTGCCTTACTGTAGAAATAACTCCCGCTCGTGTGTTTG